TTAAAAACTGATTTTATGCTCCTGAGAGACACTTGAGGAAACCACACAGTTCACAGAGTGCTAGAAAGCCCTACAACCAGGAAATGAGTTAGCATTTTAGCACTCCTGGTTCCCTTGTCTTGAAGTCAAGTGCTTTTTGGTTAGATGCCTGAAATAAGGTCTATGGTTAACACAGGCTTAAGAGACTACCACATTTCATTCTACGACACAAAATACATCAGTAAATCTGACGTTTCGCAATCAAAACAACAAAAAAGACGGACAATGAAGTATCGTGGGATCACTTAAACCAACCACCACTGCCGATGAAAATCTACCTGACATGATTTACATTACCTATAGTCACATTTATTCACGTTACGTCATTCAATTCCACTGCAATAGCCACAACAAATGGAACATTAACCTGCTAACTAGAGATGCAGCGATCCAGCTTTTTCAGTTTCGATCGCCTCAGGTATAGGTTGCATTTTCCAATACCCGATCCATCTATTTTGATGATATCGGGGCCAATATTTGATCCAGATATCGGATCAGTGCATCCCTACTGCTAACCTACCCTTAACATTAGATGAGTCAATGACCCATAAAGCAACTGTAGCTGACATTTTGTGGCATATTCAGTCGTGGGGTAACCTGGCGCCATTATCCATGGTCAAAACAATACTAATAGTAACTAAATCCACCTGAGTGGGCAGTTGGCATGGGACCAATATGGAACCCATGCACAATCGCATATAGAGCCACTTTTCAGCCAGTTTAATACCCACATGGGCCCCATGTATATCATTTTATCACCAAGCCCTACACATGAGCATCTCTGTTCTACTCACATTCAAAATGCTACCAGCAGGGCTTGTTGGGACACACTGTGATCCCCCTGAACACTGCAGGAGACACGACACAGAGACGAAACACACACACCTAATCAAGCAGCAACAAGCCCTCAGTTAAGTAGCGTAAAGCGGCGTGGGCTAATTGGATGAGACCGTGTGAACACATCAGTTTGATTTCCATCCCAGCCAGTTTATACAAAGAAACACAAGCGAAGACAAACGAGACATAACACTAACTCCTCTGGTCACACTTGGCCTCATCACACCTAGACTGTCTCCCGTACAGCCTCGTGTATATGCTCACCACACAGACAATCAGAAACTGTCGCATCATTGTTATCAATGTTAAATTTCCACTCGCATCTTTCCATTTTAAAGCAGCTCTCCACCAGATGAGGTCTGAGCCGTGCTCATTATTAATGCTGTCTGTACACACAGATAAGACCTAGTAGTAGTATTGTAATGGCTCTATGGAGCAAAGAGGAAATAGTTTGTGTTTTTGTGATGCAGAGCAAAGTAGCTCCTGCAACAGCAAGGTGTGTGCACCAAATAGTAAATAGTTCACAGGCAGCTAATTCAAGCATTTACCAGATAAGAGGAAATACTAGCAGATAAGAGGAAATACTAGCAGATAAGATCCACAGTGCAAAACACTTCCTGTTTGGCAACATGTGAGACTGTTGTGAGATCAAATGTCAAAGGCAGAAGATGAACTTGATTATTTGTGAAGTAAATATGTACTACTGTACTTAAACAAGCTGCATTAAACAACATGGGGTTATAAGCACTGATTTGTAGGTGATTTGGGTGAATTGTCTCATAGAGAAATGAATGTTCCTCGTGATTAACATCAGAACATGATGTTCCTCTCATGATATCTGATGAAAACAACAGTGTACATCAGACAACAAGAGCATGTTCCATTAAACAGATCTAAAAGAAGAGCCAAAAGTTTAAAGGCAGCGCTGACAAGATGTAATCTTTGCATCTAAACATTTTGAGTTTGATGTTGTAAGGGGAAATCTCTCAATCAGATAAAAAGCAGTAAGCGGATGTTCACGATGGCAGTTGAAGTGTGACCTGGATTCACCTTTCTATGAAGACTGAAACTGCCGTCTGTCAGAGAAGATGGCACCGTGTTAACCACAATCTCAATCACTTCAGAAAACTGCTGCGTAGCAAGTAATGAGGGTAAAGCGACAAAATAGATTCTCACATACGGTGACTGAATGAAAATCCTCAACATGAGACAAAGTTGGTTTTATGACTCTGACAGTCAGTTGCTAGTTTATTTAGGTGCACAGAGTTAACACTAATGCACTTTAATACAGCAGCACAGCAATAAATCCTACTTTCAGAATGAGTACATGTTCAGGTTTTGTTAATTCCTCTTACAGAGGTGCTGATTCAACTTTACTATCAGTGTGAAGAATGTTGAAGTGTTGCCACATTCGTTCTGTATATTACTTGTTGTATATGTTTCATTTTCTTATGTTGGTTTAAGGGAGGCAAAGACAATCTGTGCACTCCATAATCCATTCTGCCATGCTATACTATAGCACAGATGCGTTAGTGCCGCAGAAGTCCTGTGAGTATACTCGCAGGCGCTTGACTGTCCACACAGGCAGCGCATTTCTCCTGCGCTCTCCGAGCCGGTTAAACATCGACTCCACTCGTCTGTTCCTGTCAGTACTCGTTTTTTCATTTCAACAGGTCATTTTAAACATGGGTAAGTCCATATTTTAATCGTATTTTATAACGTAATAAGTTAATGACAATTTGTCATTGCATGTCCATGTATTGAGCGTGTTGGATTAACACTGAATGAATAGGGCATATTGATCTGACCATTTTATTTATGTAGTCTGTAGGCTCGGTGACACAAAATTAAAATTGTAATGAAGTGATTAGGGTATTGAAAAATGTGTTTGATTATGCACTGTTGTGTTATTTTAAATTATAAACATGGTATTTTCTCCTCACGTTCCTCAGTGCATGCTGTTGTTATTTTATTTTGAAAATTGGCCGGATTCTCTCGTCTTTTCTGTGTCCGACTTCCTGTTTGGCACGATCCGCTCTATCCAGCTTGACAGAAGCGCTCGCGGCTAGCGTGAAAAATAGACCAGACGCCGAACTGAAGCGCTGCGGTGTGTGGATGTCTGTTCATCTTTTCGTTCATGTCCTTATTAATGCACACTTTATAACTTGCTTGTTGGATTTATTAAAAAAGAACGAATGAAAACTAAATGTCTTTGAATATCTTTATTATCATTTAAAAACAAAAATTAAAATGACCGGTAAAAATAGATTATGACCGGATTTTTATGACCCTGTCGGTCAAAATGACCCAATACATAGTATGTCAAGTCCAGTATGCCAAAACTACCAGGATGTTCTACTATGTCCAGTCAGATTTTGCCGTATGCAAGCCAGCATGCTTTTCTGTCTATTTTAACCCACAATCCTTTGCACAGCGGACAATGCGTCACATTGACTGTCAGAAGCTGCACTGATGGATGACAGCACATTCAGTTGACTGATGACCAGTAGATTGGTAATAACAGGAATATTAGTTGTTTAACTGAATAAAATAATCATAAATATAACAAACAACTAAAGGGCATAAGTATTAAATAACAATGACAGATACATGTATAGCCTCTGTAATTTTACCATAAATATAATATGTTAGCAGTAATAACTTATTGCATCAGAGCTGCCCAGGTTGACCTCAGTCTTGGTGAAGGGCATTTTGCTTTATCTCCATGGTAACGGGTGTGTGAGTAAGAGGATCAGAGTTCAGGGCGCAATGCTACGAGGAAGTAAGTAGTATGTGCTGACATTGCGTACTTTTTAAGGGCAGCTGCAGTACCTACTAAAAGTAAGAATAGAAAGTATGTGATTTGGAACGCACCCCATGTTCTTGTCTGGTGGACAATAGAGGTTTATTCTAACGCCAAGAACACACCATGCAATAGCAAAGTGCGGCCTGTGGCGAGCTGTTAAAGAAAATCTATGTCTATGTTTGATTCTTTAGCAAAGGGCAGCCAAACTAAACGTTCGGGACAATACAACTTTAACCGGCTAATCGCAGCCACAGAATCCCAATAGCCAATAAAAAGAGTCTGGTGACTCTTGTGACATGCTGACCTATATAACAAAGACTTTCTTTCCTCCTGAAACACGAACACACTTCCTGGCCGCAGAAAAATCTAGTTACTGTGGTAAGCCGCACTTCGCTGATGCTTGGTGTGTTCAATCAATTGTTTTGTGCTATTTTTCATCAAAAGTGTTGTTGAGGACTGTTAAATGTGAGGATACGATGGCTTGCTTTGTCATAGTGAACTGGACGCCCTGCGTGACTGGACTGTTGGTTGATTAAAACAAGCTTTTTAAATACATCACCTTGGACATCTTTCGGCTTCTTCGGTATGTTTGGCTAATCCGCCTGGATGTGCGCGGGTGGAAATCATTTAGCAAGACAAGGAATCTTCCGTTTCTGCATTTTACTTAACTCCAGCAGTGCTGAACATACAGCCAGTGAAGGCAACTCCGCTGGGTTGCAGTCTCCAGCTAGCAAGCTAGCGCAGTCCATGCAATGTGCCACGAGCACCGTTTAACCTTTACTGACTGACTCCTGCTCAAACTTGCTGTCCTCACACGTCATCTGGTCAGGTCAGCTAACCAATCAAAACGTTACATGTAGCAATAAGGAACATTTGTAAGGGAAGAGAGGGGGGACAGACTTAACTATTGTGAACTGCCATACGCTATTTAGTGACATTTGATAGACAAAATTGTTCCTCGATTAATTGAACAAATAATTTTTAGATGATTTATCAGCAATACTGGCGACGTATTCTGTATGTGAGTTGGAATGTGAGAGGTTGAAGAAGCCAACTTAAACTTAAACAACTTAAACCACACACTGCACACGCCAATCACAGTTATGGTCATGTTTGCTGACAGGCTTAAACCGTATGTTCTATCTTCATTATCACACTGATAAGAAAAGTTTTACATGACCCATGAATGAATAGTTGCGGTTTACAAATTAGCACACACTAAAAAGTGATTTTAAAAAGGTTGCATCAGCTGTTAAATAACCCCATGAAAGGCTGACATTGTAGAGTCTGAATGTACTCATAAACAGCAACTACTTACGCGGCATGATCCCCTGGTTAACCAACTCCTCTCTGGACCTTCTCTGTTGTAGCTTCAGCTGGAGAACTAAACACCAAGACAGAGACAGACAAAAAAGAAGTCAGTGAGTGCAGAGTGAACAGACAGCATCGTCAAACCAGCCACACATCCTCTCTACCTCACTTCCCAGCCGCAGAAAACCACAAAGGTAGTGACATTACTCATAACTTAGGTGCAAGTGAAGAAAAACACTGAATAAGATGTCTCTCTGTATGAATGTGAGACATAACGCTGACATCTGAGGGTTTCATCTACCATGTTGGCTGCTGAAAATGAGTTCTCTCTGGTCCTCTGTGAGAAGACGTACAAAGTTACACGTTACACACTACACAGGGAAAGGAAACACACAAACATGAACACACGTATGTGCAAAAACCGCAGCACAGACACGCTGACAGCTTCCTGTTTCAAGTATTTGATAAAATAGCAGCACACACACTTCACTGCTGCATGTCTCACATCTCATCACCACAGAGGAGTAAAATATGTGACAGAGATACAGGCAAGGAGACTAACATGCATGTGTTTAATGTCATCTAAAGGTTTATCAACGCTGCCACGAGATTAAGCAACTTTTCAGACTCCCTCGCTGACTTTATTTCTACTTTTAAGCAACTTATTCCGACAATCAGGGAAAAAGCGTGAATAATACTGGACTATATCATATTATATTTCATTCCCATGGATGCTGCGCAGAGTCACAGTCCATGGCTTTTCTGCTGAGTCTCCAACAAGTGCAGGCCATGTGGCAGGGAGGACTCCACTGAGCTTTTTTTTTGTGACTGAGCTTTCATTGAGAATTGTGTGCAGAAGCAGATTAAAGGACTGGCACAGTTAGGTGGCTTTCGGAAATCACACAATAATACAAACTCACTATTCAAGGGATCAGTGGAAGACCAGAGACTCATTATGTTCTGTGGAGTAAAATTTATATCTGTCTATGAAGTCTGGTGGCTTTGAATTTCCAGTTTACAAGGGCTGTCTGACGGCAAGGTGAGGCTGTGAAAATACTCTGAATACAGTGTATGCTTAAACTGAAGTTTTTAGGTGTTGCTGTTTTAATCTGCCTAAAATACGTTTTGCTGCTGCCCTCGTCCAAATCCACCAGACTCCTTTGACAGAAACTGTCATGTTATCTCATGTGTCTCATGCCATTCAAATGCTTTGCTGAAGATTCTTCTGCTGAAAAAAGTAAAGTTGTGAATTGCTTCCATTTCTGTCCATACTTTCCATTTCTGGAGCCCACACTGTAACCAACTGCACTCCCTGAAGAAATATTATCATATTTTTGGAGAAATGAAAGAGTGATTCCAGAGAGAAGCAGACAGAGGGGTCTACAGTCTGTGTTTGAAGGATATATCCAGGATGTCAAACTGACTCAGCAGCAACAACAGGTTAAAAAGACAAAGATAGTTAGAAGCTAAAGCCGAACTATAGGCTACAGATCACAGTGTAAAAGAGAACCACCACATCACTGCTGATCGCCACACAAGACAATGAATATAAAGGGAAACTTTGCTCATATTGAACCAGCTGTGTGGCATCGATGAAATGTGTTTGGCTTCAACCCCGTGCCGCTGCCAGCACCCAGACAGGCAGGGATCTCTGGAGGAAGTCAAACAGCGTTCATCTGCAAACACTGTGATGACACACAGCTGGTTGAATATAAGCAAAGTATCCCTGCTTCCCTTCACTGGTTCCTGTACAGCAGGGTCGGTCTTTGTTTCACTGTTATAATCATTAAAAAGCAAAAGCAGCATGTGTATACATTCAGTAGGCTATATCTTCAGTAGCTAGCTAGCTAACCCTACACTTTTCAGGGTTTGATTTTGGTTTTGGAACAGGGAAGAAACGTATATCTTTTTCCAACGTCTCCAGGTAACGAGTATCATTAATACACGACGTGCCCCAGGCACAACATTTAGCTCCAAATCCACAACACCAGCCTGAAAATGAAGGAAATCTGAGTCAATGGAGCACAGCTGTGTTGTTGTCGGACCCTGGTCTTTTCTGAGCAGCCCTACATGTGTAAATCCATCTTTTTGTTCAGGTGTAAGGAGGCTTAGATACCATCAAGTTTCAACCATCATTAAAACTTCTAAAGTTAAGTGATATTTGCATTCTGGGGTCACGGCTCCATGTCCACGCGCCCAGAAAAGCTATCAAACTTGTTCTGACTCACCACGTTCTGAGCCGACCGCACATTTTCTCATACGCAGACACATCAGCAAAAAGTTTGAGGACAGAACTTCCAGAATGAAAATATAAATTGTCAGGAAATGATCTTCTGCAGATGGGCAGCTGCTGTATATCTGGGTCACAAAATCAGCATGAAAGTGTAACAAAATATGGCATCTGGAAACATTTTTGGTTTAGGGCTCTTTTCCCCCCCACACACACCCTGACCATCTGCAGTTACAGTATCAGCTCACACCTCAGCACTGCAGAGATGAAGCTGAGGTGTTCAGAGATTTTATATGTTGTGGCAACTACCGGTAATGACGTAGAGCACATAGCCTGGCACACACTGTAAACTGTACACTGTTAATATGAAATTACATACCAGCTCCTCGTTTCATAAACATGCACATTTAGTGTACGATTCTCTCCCTCCTCTGACGTAAGGAACACAATGTTTTAAGTCTCACAGAGTTTGAACACAAACCCTCGCTGCAGCCTCATTCTGTTTGATCGGAGCTGATGAAGGACAAATCCATAAAGTCGAAATTTACTGCTGCCCCTTCTGGGCCGAAGCCAATCACCCCAATGACATTCAAACTGTAGCTCAACTTTCCTCAGCACAGCGTTCTTATAGCACGAGCTGAGACACCACACGGGGTCATTTGATCAGCAGTCAGATTGAAGCTAGAGTGCAGGACTTTTAGATATAAATGAACGTTTGTTACGTTCAAGCTCTTGCAAAGTTCACTCAGTGCTGATTAATATGGCCGCTGGTAAAGTTCTCTGTATTTCTCAGGATAGTAGAGTTTGGTGCTGGGTGCCTGTGGTGACTTTCCAGCACAGGAGCACCAAAGTGATAAATTTTACATCAACCAGTCGGAGCTTGAGGCAGGAGAGATTCATTTATTGACTTTATGTCAGATTTGTTTCATTTTCATTGTATTTTTGGCAACGCTTTAATTTGTTTTCTCAATGCTTCATCTCTATGTGAGTGATTCTGAGTTTGTGGTATGTATGTATGTATGTGGCAGATTTCATGATTTTAGACTCAACTTGACAAAATTAAAAAGGACTTGCAACTTGACTTTGACTTCAACACCAGTGACTAGTGACATCAGTGATACTTGAGCTTTTTTTTTGCTTTTTTAAAATACTTGATGCCTTCCCCCAAGCCAAAAGATGAATGTGCTTGATGAGTGACTTTGTTTGAACCAATGCAACAGCATCCAATCAAGTTGCAGGAGAGAACCATAAAGAAATAATGTTATGTTACTGAGTGGCAGTTCGGAAAAAAAAGATACCGCGTACAAAAATGATGTGGTGGTCAACAAAATCAAAATGCAGTATGCAAAACATGTGGGTCAGACAATAAAGACAGAGACGCAACAACTACCAACAAACTTGTTTTAACAATTAAATACACTTTTTAAAAAACACTCAAGAATTTCACAAATTTAAATATAATATATATATATATTTACTACTCTGTTGTTAAGATGGCATTAAATTTGAGGAAGAGAGCGTTGTGACTTGCTTGGGACTTGAATGCAAAGACTGGAAACATACTCGTGACTTCATTATTGTATCCTATCTAGGGTTGGGTACCATTCATAATTGAACCGATACGGTACCGGTACCGGTATCTGGAATTCGGTACCGGTACCAAACGGTACCTTATTTCGGTACCTTTTAACCCTATGGGCCCTAGGCGTTTTTGGGGTATTTTTACTGCCTTTACTTTTAAGCTCATATCACAGTCATTATAAAGGCTACATACACATGCTATATCTTGTTTTTTTCAGGAGAATCTGGGCTATCCAGATTTGCCATCATTCCATGTCCTCCTATGTGCCTGTATTTTATATTAATTTTTATATCAATGAAAAAAACAAATCTGTGTGACTAAATTCTTACATTTTGACATGTATCTCAGCATAGCAAGTTGGAAAATGACATATTCTGCCATATATGAAGAGGGGAGACTCTCTGGAATCTGGCAATATAAGAACCATGATGGTGGGACATTCTGTCACTTCACAGTTGTCCAAAACATGTGGTTTGTGCCAGGTGGACATGATTGCCAGGATTTTCTCATTATTGCAAGAAATTCCATTGACTCATTCACAAGTCAAAAATGTGTTTTATCTGAAAGAAACATGCAATATTTACATCTAAGATCATAGAAAAATAGTCAACCAAGTGCAATGATGTCCTCCAAGATAATATTTGTTTTTCAGTTTCAGTTATATACTGGGAGAACATTTTGGGCATTGGTGGGGGGGCACGTGTCCCCCTCAATGTATATGGTGACTACGGCCCTGTCAGCATGCATTAGGCTGCAGTTGTTTGGGTGCGCAAAGGTGAAGTGGCTGGTCTTGTCATACAAAGTTTGATGGAGTGTCAACTGGACAATATGGAGATATTTGCATCTTGAAAGCCGGACTACAAATGTGGAAAGACAGGGAGAAACACACGCAAGCCTAAGACGTGGTAAGATACGATATTCCTCACTATATGAAGTGACTGATAACAAGATCTGTATAATGGATTGTAAAGAAATTCGTCAAGTTTTTATTTTGTAGACAATTGATCTGGATTTATAGCGTGATGGGATGACAGCACAATGATATGTGTGGTCCTGCGCTTTCATGTGATATGCGTGGTATTTCTGTGCGAGCCTGAGTTCGCGAGTAATCCATCCAAGAGTAATGTGTGTACAAAGCTGTATGAACGCTCTGTTATACATCATTTTATTGTAATTTTTCACTGTGAAAACATTGGAGTTCCGACAAGTGCTTGGTGTTGTCGAAAAGCTACAATTCTGCTGTTTCCGCTGATATGCGTGG